ACCAAAACAAAAACCACATGTGCAGAGATGCAAAAAAGCGTCTGTATAGTAGAAAAAAAAAAGTGAAAAAAAAAATGTAAACAAAAAATATCGCGTTAAAAATATTTTATTCATTGAAGATTTTTACTTCTTATCATTCTCTCATTTTTTTTTTTGTTCCTTTCTTCTTTTTCCCCCCGAAACGCACTATGTAGTACAAAAACGATTCTCATATTTTCAAAGTTGCTCGTTTATGCATTAGGTAGACAAATAGTAACGATTGAGCATGTGCGAAAATGTAAAATGAGATAGACACAGCGGTAATACAATTTGCGTGAGTAAGACAGAACATTCTTGTTCTCTAGAATTCTCAGCACAAAATAAAAGTTTCTCTCATTAGTTCTACGAAAATCACTCGAGTATGCTTTGAATATTCTTTTTTTTTTGTGAATCAGCGATGAGAAAATTCTTTTTCGGTAATGATAATGCAAATAATGCCGAATGAAGGTCATAAAAAAAGATTATGCAGAATATAAAAGGAAAGAAAACAATAAAATCACACTCACTTTTATTTGCTATTGCTCTCTGCGCGCCTTCTTCGTCTCTTTCCTACTCGATGAAAATCAAAACTTGCTGTGATGAAAAAAATGCTCTAGAAGTGAATTTAAATACCGGCACGTTTTTCATAACTTCAGGTTTATTGTATGTTATCATCATTAAATAGTATTGTTTGTGGTTGATAACAGCTTGTATCACCAAATTTATATGAAGGTTTATTGGAAAATACAAGAGTATTGCTTTATATGATTACAGCTAGATTACAGCTCAGCAGAAAATTGAAAATCATTAATAGTTCACTTCTTGAAATTATATAATGTAGATTATTATGCTGTCAAGTTTAAACTGAAGTTGATTGAGCTGGAAATGTCATTTGTTTGACTCTTCTGTTCCAATTCTTAGAAGGTTTTAAAAAAATTCCAGCTTCTCAGAAGTCTAGAGATTAGTGAATCGTTTATTATTCTTTTTCGTGATTTAAGGGGCCGTTCACTTATTACGTTACGCAAAAAACGACATTTTTCACCCCCCCTCCCCCCTTGTTACAATATGTTACAACTCACAACCCCCCCCCCCTGCCCCCCCCTGTTACAACTCACAACCCCCCCCCCCCTCCCTGAACGTTCATAATTTATACAGACGACAATTAGAACGTTACATACTTCTAGACACCCCCCCCCCCCCTATGTTACATTTTGTTTCAATTTTTCAAACCACCCCCCCCTCCCCCCTAAAATGCGAACGTAATAAGTGAACGGCCCCTAAGGACATTAAGGATGATTGATCATTTGGAATCGAATTCAACGAAACTTAAATATGGATCGTTGGTGCAAAAACTAAATATTGAGTTGATAAAAACAGCAACAGGTTTGAAGCTCCAGCCATTTCCCTGCACTGACTCCAATTAACTCTAGAAATGATTAATTTGACATTGTTAAAAAGCTCATCCTGTGCATAAATAATCCACAATACAAGCGAAATATTAAAATATTCAGCAAAATCAAATGGTCAGAAAAGTCAAATTGGCGGGAATTCCCTCGAATAAACAAAATGCTGTGACGTCAGAAATGCATGAATATAAAAATATTGTTTTCGCTCTTACTAGTGTCATAAATCTTATTTGATTGTAAAATCTTGATTTGATGGACAATTAGAAATATCGGAAAATATTCATGAATCTCAGCTTTAAATGAGATTTGAGTAGTTGAACTCAAAAATCAGACGCCTTAATGACCAGCCTTCATTAGCTTCTTCACTACTTTCTATTTGCAGATAATTTAATTTTCACTCTCAATGTCAAACTATCGATTTAATCTAAATAGCCTAATGCAGATAGTTGTGACACGACAAAAAAATTGTTCACTGATGTCTATCAATGCATGCGATGATTGAAACATAGAAAAGAATGATTTTATTTCCTTCATGCATCTCACAATTGTGTGCCTGAAAATCATTAAATTGAACAACAAAAAAAAACTTCAGATGTCAATATCAGTAACACCTGGCCAGGACGTAAAGCATAAAAGTGAACAGACGTGTAGTGAGGTGTAGATAGCGCAGAAACTAGCTCACATTCCAAGCTGTATGTTGAAACACATACGAAAATAGACCGCATTAGAATAAAAAAAACTCTACGAGCGTACGCGATCGAGTGTGATATTCGTGTAAAGCTAATCGATATGAAAGAAACTTCATTTTACTTCCATTCGATTAAACTCTCTTCCTTTTTTTTTTCATCAGCTGTCGTTGGCTATATCCAAAAATGAATACTTTTATTTTAAAAGTTGGTCGATGAACTTTGCATGCACAAAAAACTTCATCCATCTCATTTTTATCATAATACATCCGCTATGTGTTATCCCTTTTTCTTTCGTCCACCGTTCATTCGTACTCTAGTCCACTCGAATTGCTTAACCAGAAGATTATAATTTCATTTCTTTTTTGAAACCCGCTTCTGACTCTGTCTGATGTAATGGAATGATTTTTATACTTTATACACCTCATACGTACGACAGAGCAAACAGAAATGATTTTTGTTCGAGACATTGTGCATGTGTTAGGGGAAGCCAATTACTCGAAACATACAGCAAAAAGCCGAGAGGGCTTGCAGAGAAGAACGATTGGGAATATGTGCGGATAGAGATGTGGCAAAGAAGAAGGCATATCGAAGATGGCAAAAAAATGTACAGTCTGTTCAAAAATGATGCACACATGCAGGCATCAACTCATCCCGTTTTCGCAGAACTTACTGAAATCTTTTCTTTTGGGTTTCTTGCTTACCTACAACATTCGAGTTTGTTCTCATCTGTATAAGCGAATTATTATAAGTATGCAGCTCCAGAGATGGATGGATGAAAGGAATAAAAAAAAAAGTTGAGAATATTCTTCATTTCTGTTCTGCTTTGCTCTGTTCCATAACAATTGTTATTTACCAAAATCGGTGGCAGCAGAAATAAGAAAAAATTCCAGAAATTCACTGGGTATTAACTAATACATTGAAGTCGTACATGAGCCGCAACTCATCATCATCATCGTCATCGTCGATGTGCCACTCCAATAATCTTTAAACGATAAAAGCGATAAATAAATCAATGGACAAAAGAGAGCTGCTTCGGTTATGACGTGTCCCCCATCTAAATGAATGACAACGATGTTGATGATGATGTTCGCCATATTTTCGGATTCGCACATATTTCCATGTTCAATCGACCTCCACACATTTTTTTTTGTGGATTGCCATTCTCTTTCGAAACCAACTAGAATTTGCACCCGACAAAAGTTTACATGCTGAAGCTAGTGAACAAAAAAAGTTGTTTTGTGTCGCTGTTATCAGAACTGATTTTTCATGGATTATGATTTTCAGTGAAGGCTTCTCTATGACATTTACTAAGTATAAGTGAGTACATTAGATTTGGTTTATCATTAACAAAAAAAAAAAAAAATTATCTCTCACACTGACTTGATGGTGTCATATGGAAGTAAATCGAATTGTATACGGAGCACAAAAATATTGTAATAATTGGTGCCAATGTGGTCGAGAGCAAATTATCAGGTTCTCGTGAAATTTAACGTCGATGAAAAAATATATTTAATGTACATATATTCAATGGCTATAGATATAAGCTGCATGTAAAAAGCGGGTTGATACTTGATGAAATCGAGTCACGTTAGCTTGAAATGCACCAGCTTGGCACCAATACACAATTGAATGATGAACGTAGGTACAAAAGGAAATTGATGTCGCGCTGTAGATACAACAAAATACTCTTTTTTAAATAAAGAAAGAATGTGTGTAGTGCCCTCATCACTGATTCGCTCTTTTTCTGTTATAGCCTCTAAAAATTCTTGACATCTGCTTGCCATTGCCACATCAATTGTGTGTTTTGTCGTCGTCGTCTTCTTCACTCTTTCTGCCTTTTTGCATTTACAATTCTTTATGTCGTTCGAATTTCATCAACAACAAAAAAAAAGAATGAAAAAATTCTTGCTGCTTACTTCCCTCTTTGTATCTTCAGTTTATTATTATTACATCTTATGCTCATCCGTGAGTGTGAAATAGTGTAGATAGCATGAAATAGGAGCATATGGTTGTCGTTGTTGTTGAGAGGCTTATTGTCGCGAAGGTTCAAGGAGAATGAGAGATTATGAGGAATCAAATCACATTTTCGTCACTGCTTCTGAGAGACATCATCATCATAATCGTTGTCGTCGTCAAAAATAATTTTTTTTTCCTGTGTTCTTAAAAGTCATTTCTGGAAATCTAAATGCCAAGAAAAATAAAATGTGTGATTTGAAAATGTGTACACCATTAGCCCAATGAAGAAATGAAAAAATCGACACAATCAAATATATACAAGTCTATGCATCATCACATCATATAATCACTAGAAACCCGAAGCAGCTTGAATGAGTAACGACGATTCGAGCAAGTATGAAACGAGCTCAGTTTCATTTCAACGTTATAGCGGTGAACACAATCAGAAGGAGAGGAAAAAAGTCAAAGGAAAAGTCATTTTTAAATAACACATAGTCATATTGTGTATTTAAATGAAAATTGTATAAACCGGAACAACAGAATTACCTGTAAATTATTAACAACGATATCAAACAATAACAGAAGCAGATTTTATAAACTTTTTGTAAGAATCAAAACTTTCTGTACATATTGAGTCAAATTAAGCTCCAAATGGAGAATCTGTGGACTTCTACACTCGATGGTTCTCTTTTGAAACAAGCTCCATATCTCGTGCTTCATTCACATTCTACACTACCTGACTGTTTAAATCTCACTCATTTTCTCGCGCTCTCTCATTTCTCTCAAAAATTTATTGGCATTCTGAAACTTGCTTATTTCAAGACAGAAGTAGCTTGTCCATAAGCTCAATAACTTTTATTTAATTAGACAACATACATCAATAAACACCTTAAAATTGTTTTCTTATTCAATTTATATTTATTATCTATAGATAAGTTCATTAAAGAAAAGGAAGAAAACTGTAGCAAGAAACTTAGGACTAGAAGCGATGACACAAAATCGTAATTGTTGTCGCTTGTGCCTGGCACCTCAAAATGAGTGTGTTGAAATATTTAAAACACAAGCAGCAGATAAGCAGCCGATACAGTCAAAAATTTCATCATGTGTACAAATTCAGGTGAGTTATTCGTCCATTTATACATTAAATTCCAAGAAATCCCTGGTAATTTTGCTCAGGAACCACAAGACAAAAAGTGTGCATTAGTGAATCATCCAATGAGTATGAAAGTGCCTATAGAGTCAAGAGCTAAATTGTGTAGGAAAAATCGATAATGTCAGTGTGGTCACATGCGAGCACATAGAAAAGTGTACAGAAATACGAAAGAAAAATATACACTGAGTGCTCGGTTCGCTCGCTTGAGCTCTGCTGATGATGATGATGAAACATTTTCAAGTATCTTTCCGATCGATGTGTTGGTGGTTTCCTATTATACCTTTGAATCATCACACTTTTTTTTAATGGATATGAAAAAATAATAAATTTCAATGGGACTGGTTTTTTTGCCACTGAGCCATGAGTGTTGTTGCTGTTAAAGAAGAAAGAGAACAGATTGCGAATGCGGTTTAAAGTTGAAATGTATTGACGATGAACGATGATCATGACAAGAAGAACAGGCTACAGTAGAAGCTTGAATATAAACCAAAAATGGCGATGAAACAAAAATGTAAAAGAAACAGGATGATAATTGATTGACAATCGTCGTGCATCATCCCTGTTTCCCGAAAAATACAATATTGTTGGTTCCTTCATTCTCTCGATTTTCTCTATACATTCGTCTCGTATATCATACGCTTCCAATTCATACCTAAAATACAGTCTACGGTCACATGGTGCATGAAACCTTTGAAATCTTCTTCATTTTGTTCTGTAATACGTCTCGGATAGAAGCAGGCAAGCAGGCAACATACAATATTGGGGAAGGAAATAAAGAGAAGAATTATATAGAAGAAGCATGTGAATGGAGTGGAAAGAGAAAAAGAGCTGAGAAATGTAAAGATCGAGAAGAATTAAAATTGAAATGAAATATAAAGAAATCAGCTCAGCAATAGAACATCATGTTCATGATGATGATGATGATGACGACGGACGATGATGGTAAATGTGAGTGAGCTGGCAATTATATCTCTCTACGCTACACATTATCCAAAACAAGTCGTGCTCGCCTCGTTATATGTGAGATGGTGATTGTATATTATATTCAAGTTGCTAGTTGACGCACGCAAGCAATTTTTTTCGGGTTCCAATTTCGACATTATCTTATCGCAAGCGAAATAAGTCGAAATGCCCCTGTCGATGGAAACTCAAATAAGTGTATGCCTGAACGATGGTGATGGAATGAAACTTTGTACAATCTTTTTTATTCACTTTTATATACATTTTGGCTTACACATTTTTCTTCTGTGTGTGAACAGCGGATGGAACAAACTATGTGATGAGAGTCAAAAATACACATCAAATATGAGAGAATTGCTGTTGTTGAAGCTGAAAATAGTCCATCCGCTTATAGAAATATTATGATTACGCGGCTGTGACCATCAGACGACACAACAGTAAAAACTTGCTAATTGAAATCGATTTTTTTAATTCATCTACTATTACACAGTCATATGGGCTTATTTGGATGATTTATAGAGCACACTTTCTGTTATTTATTTCGATAAATTTTATTTTTTCGTGATTCTAGCCAACTGAACAATCTATCTAATAATCCTATGTTTATTTCCATTTTATCCATAATGCAGGTTAGCTTAACAGACCGTTTATCAGTAAACATTTGCCATTCGTGTGTAAGTTATTTAAATTCATGGCAAAGTTTCAAAAATCGATGTGATGCAGCTCAGAGGAAGCAAAAAATCTGGCTCTCAACGTCTGGTAGTGATGGAAAAGTACAAAGCACTGGTCAATCATTACTTAAGAATCAATTAAATGGACATGGAAATCAATTGAAACCAGCTCTCGAGAATGCACAACAAAAGTTTCAAGAGAAACAAGCAGAATTACAGAGACGAAAACTACAAGAGCTTGTAAAGCAACAACAATCGAGTGATATGGACACAAGCTTCATTAAGTCTGAACCTGCATCTGATGACGTAAGTCTATTATTCCTCTCATCTTTCATCAATAAGACTGTACATTTTTGCAGATATTCATCATTTACTAATTTATTTTATTTTTTACACTGCATTCATATATAGGAGGATGAGGAGAATGTTATGGAATTAGATCCCTCACAGTTTTTGGCACAAGGTAGTAGTGATGATGATTCAGAAAATGAAGATTCTCGGAATCAAACACAAAGTCAAAATGGAAACGGTCCTCCAATACTAACATCGCTGGGTCTCACACATATCAACAGTGTATCAAATCCATTTGCATCATATGCCGTGAGTTTATTTTCACAAGCATTTCTACTTTGAAGTTTTTACAGCTTTATATAATGACTTTTTTCTCTTTCCTGTATGTTGCCTTTTAGAACTCGGACGATTCAACAAATGATGACAAAAGTGAAATATCGAGTAATGGTGGAAAATCGCATGCCCAAATACCAGCCAATTGTACAGTATGTAATATGCAATTCTCAAATCGTGCCAATGCTCGCCGTCATGAGAAGAACATTCATAAAATAAGAGCAACGCCAATTGCACCGATACAATCAGCAAATACATCTTTGAATACATCACAACTAAATACATCAACAGTGTCGACGACTTCAGCTGTAAAAAAGAAACCATTCTCGGTTATAGAAATAGACTATACCAAGCCAGAATTATATCGTCATTTACTCACGCCAACAAAGCTCACATTCATATTAAACAATCTTAATTTCCTCGAGCAAGCACAAGACATGACTTGCAAGTGTTGCAGTAAAAAGTTCCCGAGTTATAAGTTTTTCATGGGTCATATGAGAAAGAAATATCATGGGCTCCCACGCAATGTGTGCTTCAAATGTCTAAAACAATTTGATAGTAAAGGGCAATTTATTGGACATCTTAAAAGACCTGGTGGATCTTGTCCGAATCTTTATCGTATTGTAATGGCTGACGATTCCATTCCAAAGAACCTCATTCCATCAGACACTAACTTAAGAATACCAGCAAAAGATGTACTCAATAATCGAGTCTATGCATGCGCCATTTGTGATGATACATTCCGATTGAAATCTGATTTCCGAGAGCATGTTTATAGTGTGCATTTAGAAGTAACAAAGAATCGAGAAACTCCAAATGCCAGCTGTATAAATTGTAATGAAGCATTTACGGATTCTGCTGTTCGTCGTCGTCACTTCAATAATCTTGACTGTATTGTGTATATTGTATGCAACACCTGTGGTGAGCAGTTTCCATCACAATCTGTTTATCTTGATCACGTATATCAGACACACTTGAATTCCAAGGCACAAGAAAATGCCGAAGAAACGATACTTTTTGAAGAAGCACCCGAGGACCAATCACAGTCAACCGCAATATCACCAGCAAACAAAAGTATTCAAAAATGTCCAGTTTGTTTTAAGCAATATAATAATTATTATAATGTGTTACGTCATATGGAAGCTAAGCACCCAGATCAAGTTCCTCAAACATATCAATGTCCCGAATGTCCAAATGAGAAATTCAGCAAACAAACTTATTTACGTGAGCATTTAGTGAAAGTTCATAATAAAGTTGATGTCTCACCACGACAATTGATGCAGCATCAAATTGCCAATAGTAGCTTACAAAAGATTCCTGCATATACATGCAAAGCTCCAGATTGCGGAATAGAGTTCGGAGAGAGAGACAAATGGCTTGATCATCAAGAAGAAGTACATGGTGGAAAATTCTGGTGTATGTTTTGTGAGCATCATGAGTCCGAGACCGATCAACGTGACGCATTTGAAAAGCATTTGGAAATGACTCATCAAAATTCAAACAAACCACAGCTAATGGTCAATGGAAATGAGTCGGATGATGAAACAACAGCCACAAAACTGGACCAATCATCGGATGCGACAAAATCATACAAATGTCGATTATGTGCAAAACGTATTGCAACAAAAACTGGACTTCAAAAACATATGATTAAAGTTCATAATGTTGGCGGTGAGCTGGTAAAATGTACTCTATGTCCAGCAGATTTTGCAAATGACAAAGGTCTTAAAGTTCATTTGTGGCGTTGTCATGAAATTCGTGAGGCAGATTATGAAAATGTTTTGCCTCCTGATCTTTTGGATCCATATACACAACAACAGAGAAAGCTAAAACAAGAGGAAGAACAAAAAGCAATTATGATGGCAAATGAGAGTGGAAGCATCGCTAAAAAGCGAACAGTTTATGAATGTCCATTCTGTCACATAGTCTATCATTCAAAAGATGAATTAATTGATCATCAAAAGACAGTTCATGCTATGGACGATCCTGATATTTTAGATCCGGATGATTTCGTACAACAAGATTATTCAGACACGAATGATGACACGAAAGATATTCAAGGTGATGAAAATGATATGACTATACACGAAGAAGAAGCTGAATACTGGTTCCAATGTCGTTTTTGTCAGCGATCATTCAATTCCAGCAAGAAGCTTACAATTCACATGAACAGCCATCAAGAAAGTACGAGTGGTCAAGATGAGAACGGTGGATATCCATGTAAGGAATGTAATATTGTTTACAAATCTAAAAAATCATTGTGGGTGCATCGTCATAAAAAACATCCACGTCATCCGGTTCCATCACCGTGTGATTCATGTGAAAAGACATTCTTTGATCGCAACGAATTGATAATACATATGCAGCAAGCCCATCCTGGAAGTATTCCGACTCTGCCAAATGATTCACAAAAAGAGAATGAAAATGATGGAAACGTGAATGAATCATCACTATTCACTGAAGGTCACTGGTTACTGGATTCATCAACAGAAACTAATCAAATGAAAGCACCTCAAATGCCGGACCAAAATTCATTATTACCAAAGAAAAGAAAACGTCCAGCACCATCAGAGACACCTGACGGACAGTTCGCTTGTGATATGTGTCCAAAATGCTTCTCAAATGCTAACGCTTTGCAAGTCCATCGTGGTTGGCACTTCCGCTCACCTGATGGACGTAAAGTCAAAGATCCATCACAAATGTGGCATCCTGATCAAGTTCCACCAAGTAAAGTAAGACGTACAGCAACTCCATCTAATTCATCATCAACTTCTCCTGCCCCATTGACAAACAATGTCATAGTTCCTACATGTCCTCATTGTAATGCTAAATTTGCTTCACATAATAATTTACGTCGTCACATAATTGAAGTACATAAAACGCGTGATTCTACAAATTCTAATGAAAATGAAGTTAAAGTCGATCGAGTTGGTGAATGTACAAAATGTGATGTTATGTTCAATACATTAGCTGAATGGGTTGACCACAAAATTAATGATGCTAAAAATAGAAAGACAATAGCTGGTCAGCAAGCTGGTTACGAATGGAACTGTGAGATTTGTTTAAAGCCATTCACAAGACGCGAACGACTAATGCAGCATATGCTTAGTCATTTAAATGACAAACAAATGGACCCAGAAGTATTAGCTGAACATCAAATAAGGTTAGATAATAAAGTGAGCAATGGACAAAAATTACAGCATGATGATTTAAGTAGTGGAAGTGAGCCTGAAGACGATGACGATGAACAATCGGATAATGAAGAAGAAGATGATGCAAAAATGCCACAGTCATTTAGCTGTGAATTATGCAGTGTGATATTTTCGTCATCACAAGAATTAAGATCTCACGTTGCAGAGCATTTCCTAAATGGATCAGGAGGACTTTCCACAACGACACCAACAAAATCAATTGAAAATCATGAGGAAAATAGCAACAAATTAGACATTGATGAAGATGTAGAGCGTGAGTTAAATGATGTAGAATTTGAGGAAGCAGAAGTCGATTTCGATAATCCAAATGAAGACGAAGACGAAGATGATGTGGAGGAAGAAGAGGATGAGGATGGTTATGAAGAAAATGGCGAAAATGAGAATGATGAAAATGACGAAAACGAGGAAGTTGATGAGAATGATGAAAACGATGAAAATTCAGACTCTTCAGGCACTTCGTCATCGCTCTCAAATCAACCAACAAAAGTTCCACAACAACAACAACAACCACAGCCACCTATTGGACGTATACAAGTCCAACTTCATCGATGTCGTGTCTGTAATGCAGCATATATCGATCAATACAAGTCTGTAGAATGCATGGTGTCACATCAAAATCGCAATACACCTTACAAGTGTTCCGACTGTCAACTTTATTTTAAAGATACAAAGCAACTTAAAGATCACGAGAACTTGTGCCATGCATAAATAGAAAAATTGAAATAGTAGAGTATTCCAGTGTGAAAATTTTTTAAAAAAATATTTCATTAGAAATGTATCAATTAAGAAATGTTAATTAAGACTTGTCAAATAAAAATTAATTCTAAGATTAATACTTAATTATAACTTCCTTGTTTATGCATTTATCTTAATTACGCTTTCAATGTTTACAGCTTTATCTTATCGTTTATGATTTACACTTTGTAGACTAATACAGGTAATTTGAAAAATCTGAATAGAATTGCATGCCTCAGAAAACAATTGATGAATAAGCTTTTTTATTTAGAATGAGTCATATTATTACTTGTAGAATCACTTACCTTAAAATGCTGTTGATCGACAGAACTTCAACTTTAACAATTTAAAAGATTACTGACCCTGAAATTTTAAAAATCATATTTTTTTGGAAAAAGGATTGTTTTTTATTTTTAAAATTACATGAAACATTTTTAACTTAAAACTAGGCCTCGCATCTTAAAAAGTAAAATGGTCACACTAAGCTCATCACAAATTAATTAGAGCTTTGCAGATTATTTTTTATATAAAAGTCTCTCGTATAAAAATAATGAAGCATTAAGAATATGATAGTGGAAGTCCAGGGGAAACGATTCTATAAACTCATTCATAGTCGCAAATAGTAAGGGCGTAAAAATGTTCAAGGATGCAACACTGATTAATTACAACTTGAATAGGTAAGTATAGTTCATTAATCATTTCCATTGTTTTATTACTTAAAAGTACGGTTTTTTTGGGAAGTTGAGTCTTCAGATGTCATCTAAGGTTTCGGTAATTTATAAATCTCATAAAAATTATAATTAGATTTTTCAAGTAGCACTTAATTTAACAATAGGTCTCCATAGATATCGTTAGCAATGCTTCTAGTGGATATAAACAGTTGCTATTGTAATAAATTCATAGAATATTCAATTTCAATTTTGGAAAATGATTTGAGATTGTTGTAATAAGGGTCTAGGTATCCCATAATTATATCCTCTTATAGCCAAAGTCAGATAATTAATCAGTGTCATATCCATTGAGTATAGTATATGGTAATATATTGTCGTTGGTTTGTTTATATAGCAAGGTATGTCAACTCTGAATTGATTTTTAAAATTTGTTGAGAATTTTCTGATTCTTCATTTTTTTTTTAAATCAATGATTCAAGTTTCTAAAGCCCTTTGGCACTGCTAATCTCAAATTTTCTGTATTCTAAAATTCAATCAATTTTCAAAGATGATTGCCAGAGCGGTATATGACTGCAAACTGAAGCTTTATTCATTTAGGAATAGCATTAGTAGTGTCAAGTACTAACTGAACAAGTATCCTTAAGACGAATAAAACAACATTTTGCAGTCATATATAGCTTAGATCATACCTACATTTTTAGAAGAAATCATATAGCAAGATTTGTCTTAAATTTTAAAATTATGAACAATTAAACACTGTCATTTGATTCCTTTAAGTAATTTGTTCTTACAAATTACATAAATGAAGAAGTATATAATCGATTTGTACAATATGCTTACAAAAATTTACCTTAAAATGTCTTCAATTCTGGTAACTTCTAGGATCGCAAAAATTTAATTTCGAAAAATTTAGCAATAAAAATTTGAGAATGTTCAAATCATACTTTAATTTACATAAAAAAGGATGTGCTCTAACTCGTCGCGAGTAGTGGATCTGTGTAATCTGGCGATGATTCAACTTTAGGTCCCATCTTTTTCTTGTACTTTTTGACAACTTTTGTTTTTGCAAGCTTTGTTTTGTATTTACTCAACTTCATTAGCTTCTTATCGTATGCCTCTTTGTCTTTTATGTCATCCACTTCTGTTTCAATTTGTTGATTGATTTTCTGCACTGAGTCTTTCTCTTTTTCTTGTTCTTTCTCTTGATCTAACATTTGCAATTGCTCGAATATATTCTTCGGACTCGGATGTGATGGATGTGGTTTTGTGGCATTCTTATTTGCATAAATGACAATAAAATGTGAGAAAGCAGGATCGCTCCCTGCATTTATGTCTGCAAAGTCTTTGAAATTTTCAAATGGATCTTCTGGATAGTATGCCTGTTTTGGTTGTTGTGGTCTACCATGTCCATTATTAAAATATCCACCAAAGAAATCTTCTCGTTCCTTAGGTCTATATGGCCTCTCACCGTCTGGATAGAAAGTTCCACCACGTACAACAGCAAAATCACCAGAACCAAGAATTGATTGATCAAATTGATTCGCTCTAGTCGATGCACTATAACGTCCAGCAATTGATGCTGCTGCGGTTGCTGGAGCTTGTTTATATGGCCGTGAATGAGCATTTACTGGAGGATTTCGGAAGAATGATGGGAAAAAGTTTTGTTCAGCAGCCACAGGATTTTGTGGTTGAGATCGATGAATAACTTCCGGTTCAAAGTGTTCAACTCTTGACACTGATGCATAATTCGGTCGGGTTATAGGCACAAATCCACTAGGCTGTCGCTCTGGCATCTGTGAATATTGACGTACAACACGTGACTCTGACTTAACTATACTAAATTTTGGTGCTGGCAATTCATCAGGTTCCATATACATATCACTATCGTCTTCATCATGTGTAGCTAGAAAGTAAACGTTTAAAATTGAATTAGATGCTAGACTAATTGAATTATAGCTAAGCACGTGCTTGAAAAAATTTATTTTGGCACGAAACAAGCACGAAAATCATTAAACAATTAAAAAATATTTTTGGTTTTAAAGCATGAAACATATATAACAGCACAAAGTTTCATTAAATCATGCGTAAATGAGATACAGTTGATGTAAATTGATTTTATAAGTGCCACTAAAAGCTTGTTAATAGCAGCTAATATTTATTTGCATTTAAAGCTCACATTATATTTATATTATCTAATCTATGCGTCGTGCTACACAAGCTTGTATTTTTCATGATAATTTTTACATAAAGTGTGAATTTATCATTTTGCAACAGGAAGAACAGTGCGTATGCATATTGGAGATTATGTAAAGTATTTTTTTGAGTTAACTCTTGCTTCTCCTTGAACGAGTTCTGTGTGATAATTTTACATTAAAGATTTAATGAACAGTATTAAGAGTTCCGTCATTTCCCATTTCATTACAGTGTAAACACATTATGAATGCGTGAACTATTTGGCAGAGTTGGCAACTTTCTGATAAGTAGTACTTCAGAATATTAATGAATCTCTTATACATGGCATTTGCATGTTTCATTAGCTGCTTTCAGTTGTCAAGTGCCACAAGATGGCTCTACATCTTTTTAAGAGACGTAAATAGTTCAGAAATTAAATCATCTTGTAATATTTACTCATACACAATTGACCCAGAAAGAATCAACGTTTACATAACTTGTCGACACAACCCAAGACATCCTGCCATTTTTGACTCAAAAAAAGCAACAAATTAATTTAAAGGAACGCCTCTTCTGAAATTGTTCATCTCTGAATTAGCCCGCAACAGTTATGTTCTTTTGATTATTATGATTTCCATAGCTCTTCCCTACAATTCCATTTATGCTCGCTTGCTTACTATAAAGTATTGCCAATGGCAACATCCAGTCATAATCATTAACAGCTATATCAACACCAAATGTCCAAAATTTTGCCTCAGGCAATCACAACTTTCCCAACTCTGTAAATGTTAATGGCACATGAGATCACAACAAGTCTTATATCAGTCCTGTAAAACTGATCATTTGATGCCTTTTATATCATACTCAGTGGAAAGTTCAATGCACACGAAACAAGATATTTTTCGATTCCTTGTCAAATAATTTTCCATTTTACTTCATTTTACGATCGAATTCTTCGTAAAGTAATTCAAGTAAAATATAGGTTGATGGTAATTTATGTGATAGTGTCGAGTGTGCGACAGAAAATTGCATAAGTGCCGTAATTTGTCTGGAATGAAAATATGATTTAATTTGCTGCTTTTTCCAAAATAAAAAAGAAAAGATTTATCGCTATAAATACATGTCAGGATAGAGTTTTAATGTTCTTTATGCGTTAATTTAAATATATGTTATAATTTAAATGCCCTGATATTGACGTAAATGACCATAAATTATACCAAAAACCAAAACTTTTTAAATTAATACTCAGTGGTTTTTCCTTTCTTTTATTTTCATCAGCTTGTTTGTATCATTAATTTAATACAGAATTCACTTCCTTTCATTTTCATATGATGATCGATCAGTGGGTCATAAAATGTTTGTGGAAATAGACTTATTTTTTGGCTATGCTGAAACGTCTGTTGCCATAAAATTTTGAATATTTTAAGTTTTAGGATTATTTTGCTGAATAGACATCATCTGAATGAGCGATAATGACGAATACTTCTTGATTATCTGAGGATTACTAACCCTAAACTTTGATAAATTCCATAATAAGTTCGGTTTTTAATATCATTAAAACATTTCATTCGTAAATATGAGATTCAATAATAGTAAACTTTGCTTTGTCTTATTCGGTAAATTAATCATTAACATTTATTGCAGCAAAGATGTTTAATTTTCAAAATCCCAAAGCAGAAAAGGAAAGAATCAACTAGAAAGTGGCTACAAGCAGGTATTAAGTTGCAAAAATTTTAAATATAAAACAAACATTGATGAATAATTAAGAAACAAAAAACTCATTGATCATAAATTTCAGGGACAGTTTCACAAACTTTTCAAATTCGACACACCTTAAGATTTTTCAAAGAAGAGTATAGCCAATGATAAACACAGCAGTCACAGCATAAGATTTCAACAAAAATTAATTTCAGCATTAAACCAATTTTTACGGTAGATATCTTTAATTAAATCTCTTAAAAAAATTTATCTCAGTAGAAAAATCAGCGAAACAAAGGATTATGACGTTAATTTATGAGAGCGATAATAACAAGTAAGTCTTATAAAAAGTAACGAAATGTTTTAAAAAAATTAGCAGAGATTTGAATTTTTTTTTGTGCAAACTCATTTTTTACTACTGACAAATCGGCAGTTGTCTTTGCTCTTAATTTTAATCTCATGATAATTTCTTTATGACTTGCAATATTCACTCTATGGGTCGATAATTTATTTCAATATACTCGATGAAATGCTCTTCAATGAAATTGTTATACATGCTGATAAATAGCTATTCGAAAAAAATTACCACATTATTATTACATTATTAAAATCCATTTAGTGCTGTAAATTTGGGGTAAGAAGTAACGCAAAAGAATTGCCAAATTGAGAAGAAAAGAAATAGTGAGAAAGCGGTGAATTGGAAAATTATAGTGCTTGAAAGCTATAAATCACCTATATTCAGCTATTGAGCAAATATAGTTACACTAATAAAAATGTAATAATACAAGCCGATTGAGAATGAGATGATGTGGAACAGTGAGCATAAAATTGCAGCAATAAAAATATTTCGGTCATTTCACAATGAAATGGAAAGAAAAATTAGTTCAAATTACTGACTTGAGTAATTGATTGTGTTAAGTTTTGTGTTTGGAGAGCGCCATGTAATTAATATCGAATTAATGTTGGGTGGAATCATCGGTAATAAAGGGAACATAGAGGTTGTCCCTTATCAAAGTTTGTTTACTAATATGTCATTCATAATTGTCGCCCAAACGAAGCTAATCTTGTTCAAGTACCAAGCTAAACTTCAAACAAAGAATCAGCTCCCTTTCCACATGTGACATCATTCATCATTCGAAAACATTTAAATTGCATGTGCATTTTAAGAATGATCCACATTTTTGCTCAAATATACTTATTTTAATGGGCCCCGACGAAAAAAAATTATTTGTGAGTGAAGCTTTAAATCTAAAATATCTCCGAAACCACAATAGTGACAAATTTCAAAGTTATTTTATCTTATAGGAAACAAAAATTTCTATCTTTTGACATACAACTCACTTCCTAAAGTTAAGCATTTATGTCGGAAAATCACTTTAATTAAGCGTCACTCACGAATAATTTTTGGGTATTTTGCTATAACTTTGTCAGCTTTCATATCTTCAATTGTATTTTTTTAGATCAGAAACTTTATTCTCTTGTGTTTAGATTCAAAAAACTTTATAAATTGTCTTGGAAACATACTTAAATGAACATAATTAAGTTAAAAAAAATTTAACACGTTTAAGGGTAATTCCATGAGAAATTTTTGTAAAAAATTTACTTAAAATTGATTTTTTTCATATTTAGGCTTTACAAAAGTTAATAAGATGTTCACAGTGCATGTAAAAAGTCATATGGTATATGATTTGACATTAATTTTCTATCTAAAGTGGTTAATTCGTCCAAAAAATTGATTCCATGAGCGTTACTTGGTAACGCTATAAATGTTACCAAGTAACGCTATAAAATATAATTTTTTGGACTTAATAATCACTTTAGATGACATTTTAATGTCAAATAACATACTTTATGGCTTTTAACATGTCCTGTGGAAATCTTATTAACTTTTGTAAAGCCTAAGGATGAAAAAAATCGATTTAAAGAAAATTTTACAGCAAAATTATAGCATGGAATTACCCTTAAATTTTTTGAATATTTTCGGTTGTAATTTGTTTGTTTACAAACAAAATTGGAAATGAAATTTGAAAAGTCACGAAAATACCACTCAATAATGATGAAAAGGCTCTTAAAATAGTCAGAAAAGATAATGTGTCATCTACTTTTCGTATTCAAATCATAATATTTGAGATTAATTACTGAATAATTAAGAAATTTGAGGATTTAATTTTTTGATAATGTGTAAGATAGTGTTAGTAAATTTCAAATTTAATTTTTCCGTTGAGCAAAAATCCTAAAAAAAATCGTCGAGGCCCTAATAGAATCCGCATCAGTAAAATGCAGTAAATAAGTAAGCAATGAAAATAAAAATTAAATGTAATCGCTACCGATAAAAACAGTAACTTGATCATGCTCCATATATTAAATTGACCCAATAATTTGATGCTGCTCAGTACGGCAAAAAGATTCACTCTATAATTCATCTGGTAGCATATCGTTTCCAACATTTATCATACTGTCAGGTTTTGTTCAGTAAATTGCCGGTAAATTATCTTATGCAATAACGAACTGTACAACACGCGTACGAGTAGAGAAGAAAAAAACTTCATTTTCTTTCCTGCATCCGTAAATGGAGCTGTTTGACGATCTCCTACAAATAAATAATGTGATTCTACTCTCGAACGATTAGTGCTGCTTATTTTGCGTTTGAATAAAAATCAAATGCCGTTGACATAATCGTCAAGTAATGGCAAGTCGCGTGTTTATTGGAATGAATATGAATAGCAAGAGAGGAAAACGAGTAATCAGACGTAAAGTATTGCGTCAATAATAACAAGAAATGTATAATATACTAGCAGAAATTTACTAGTAATTTACTGGATAACTTTCCATTTGCTACTTGCTATTTACTAGTTAAAATCCAAGTTCAAATCTTCGCCAAAGACCCGCATTTTCGCTTGCTAATTGACTAGTCAATTCACTTACAATTTAACTAGTAATTTACTAGCAAATTTTTAAAAAATTTAAATGAATATAACCGTTGATTTCCACGTGTTCTTTTGATTTTTCTTATTTTTGTAAAGTATTATAAAA